TGGAAAAGGAGCAGCAATGGCAGCTGGGGTGAGAGCTCAGGCCCCCAGAGTGTGCAGCCCCTCGGGCACTTCCCAGGCTGCAGCAGAGCTGGCACAGCCTGGCCCCTTCCAGCCTGGCCCCGGCACAACCTGCTGCCTGCACAGGCACCTTCCCTGGCAGCACAACTACCATCATTACAGAGATTGATTAAGACATAAAAGTTAAGCCCAGGCTTTGAGGGAAAGGCACTCTCTGTCTCATGAAAGCTCATTTCATGGCTGCAGCTGCTGTCTGTTTTTGTAATGGCCCTTTAAAGTATTCCTGGTTTCCCTCCTCACCAGACACTGATTTCCCTGTTTCATCCCAGTGAAGGTGAGGGTGGGCTGGGAGCACCAGAGCCCAATTAACTGGGCATTTAAATCCCACCTGGGAGGGAAGGTTTGATCCTGGTGGTATCTGCAGCAGCCCAGCAAGCTGCCCGAGCTCCCCAGGGCAGATAAAATTTCCTGCTTCTGACACATCTCTTCCTGTCTCAGAAGAGAGAACTTTGGCACCAGTGCTGGACATTTGCTAGGAATTAGATGCTGACAGGGAACGTCGGAATGTTCCTGTTTTCCTGCCTGTGAAGATGGAAAAGAGTGTCTCTGTTGCAGGATAAGAGGAGAAATAGATGGATATTAGTGCCACAATTCAAATATTTATGTTCTGGGCTTGCAAGGTGCTGATGTGCTGTGGTCTGCAGCAGATCCTGGGCAGGTCAGAGAAGTGTTGGCACCCCTGGGGAGGTGTGAGGGAAGCACCAGCACTGCCATGCTCTGGGAGCTCTGCTCTTACCCAAACCCAGGCCAGTCCTGACCTTCTGTACCTTGCTGTGGTGGGAAAGAAGAGATTCAGCTTCGTAAAGAAATACTGTGCTTCCAGAATGAACTTTTCAGCAATTTGTGTCTCATCTAAATTCTTCTCCTCAGCTTCATGCTTGAGAAGTTTGTGTGGTGGTGGTGTGGTTTTTTTTCCTAGTAGTCAATAGAAGATCTGAAATGACAATTGGGGTAATAGTGGCTGTTATTAGAAGATTAAGGCAGCCAGACTGAGTAGACTCTAGAGAGTTTTCATCCCAGCTTTACGTCCTTCCTCCCACACAGAGGTCTCCCAGCAGACCTCTGAAGCAGCCCTGGCAGTGTGCTTTGAAAGGGGGCCTGGAATGCTGCTGCAGCTGCCCCTCCCCTGATCCAGACTGTGGTGTGGATGGTGCTCCCAAATGCTGGGCAGTGAGTCCCTTTTGTGCCTGGTTCACCCTGAGGTTGCTCCTGGGAGCTTTCCTGTGGGGCCTGAGCCGGGGCCTGCCCCAGCCCCTTCTGACAGCCAACAGAAAGCTGGGCTGTGGTGCCAAGCCTTGTGTGTTCTGTTTGGGCCTGGAAAGAGCAAGTAAAGCTCTTTGGAGCTGGGTCTCAGCCACGTGTTGGGACCTTGTCTTGGTTAAGCAGCCTTGGTCTGGTAGATCTTTGGTCTATCCATGCTGGCAGCTCTGCAAGGCTGCTGTTTTGGTTGGCATGGTGACTGAATTCTGGTTGCTGTTGGAAGGGTTGCTGTGACAGGGACTTTGTAGAGTCCCATCTCAAGAGTTAGTACCTCCTGCTGGGTGTTTTTTGTTTTGTTCTAAACTTCTCAACACGAGGCTAAATTTAGCCATGTGGAAATCAATAAATTACTGCTGACTTTAACATAAGGGCAGGGTTGGGTCAATGCTGAATGTTTTTGACCAATCTTACCCATGGTGTTCAGGCTCTTCTCCTCTTCAGCTGGGAACAACATGACGAGAAACTTTCCACTGCTTTAAATGTTAAGGAATCTCTGAAAATATTTAGGAACAATCAATTCAATGTTCTATGGTTTGGGGGTTGATTGTTTTGTTTTTTTTTTAAGTACAACATGTTTTTTTTCCAGATTTCCACCCAATCTACATGCTTGTGTCCCAGAGCTTGTTTCCATGGTGTATTTGTGCTTCTGTCACGGAGCGTGTCCAGCGACACACACACGTGAGAGGCAGCTCCTGGTGGGCCATTTTGCTTTAGGACAGAAGGGCAGCTGAAAATGAGCTTCTTGTCTGCTAGAACACAGGGAAAACCACTTCTGGAACAGCACTGAAGCTGGAGCACAACTTGGGAACAAGGACTTCTTGCATTAAGTTGTGTGTGACTAGCTGGGAGCTGTGTAAAACTCCAATGTTTTGTCTCAGCAGTACCTATGAAAATAAGTGGGTTTTGGAGGTTTGCTTTGCATCAGGCTGCTCTGCCTCCCCCTAAGCTCCCCCACACGTTTTGCTCTGCTCACAGAAGTACACGTTGGTACCTACTGGTACTTACATTTGAGTGAGTATTGCAGGGGGTTGGGTATATGTTCCCTGTGTTCTGTGTATAATAACAGACTGTTACTTGGTAGCTCAGCAAAACAAACCAGTTTCATCCTGCTGCACCAAAGCCCAAAGTGCCCGTAAAACAGTGGGAAGCATTCCTATGGAGGAGGAGAACTGTCCTCTCTCTGTGGGAGTCCTTGGGTTTCAATCTGCTCCCTGGGACCCGTGGTGCTCCAGCTCAGCAGGCAGGAGCATTTTCCTTGACCAAATTGTCCCAGCAGCCCAGTATGGCTGGAGGGGCATGAGAGGCTTCCCAGCACCTCTGCTTGTGGTGGGAGAGCTGCTCCAGGACATTTAGTGATGCAACCACAAGCAGAGGTGCTGGGAAGCACTTGAAGTTGCTTTATATTCAGTAGCAGCCTGTGTGGACAGTGCTTGGCTATAAACTCATTGCCCTTTGCTTTTTATCAGTCTACCAAAGTAAGACAAACATGCTCCTGTAGTAATGAACCCTTGTGTCCATCCCTGGGGAGGGGGAGTTAATTGCCAACCAATAGACTCATGTCAGAATGTGTGTGAGCCTGGAATGAGATCTGCAGAGAGCAGAGGGAAGACACAGAACATTTAATGAGTGCTGTAAGAGATAAAAGCAGAAGTTGTTGAATCTTTAAGGTGAGAGCAACGGGCTCTTAAATGGCAATGAAATTATTCTGTAAATGTTAGCACTTTCAGCAAGTGTCAGTAATTTGATCCATTCATAATGCATAAAGCAAGCACAGACCATTACCATTCCTTCTGACACCGTGTGGGTCACAGAATACCTTTTATTTATATATATAAGAAGTGCTGAGTGCCAGTTCGTGGAACTTGACTTTATCTGATTCAAAAATCAGACTGGCACGAATCAGGAGTAGGACAGTGGAAATCACATTGCTACAAACCCCCATCTTTTAGGAAAAACTAGGGATGCATGCACATGGTTTTCAGGTAACAGCAGGTTGGGCCAGCAGCAGCTGCAGCAGTGCAGTGCTTAAAACAAACCTGTGCAATGAAGGAGGCAGAGGGAGGCATCAGTGCTCTGCAGGCTGACGGATGGAGGTTAAACCTGCAGCGTGTGCGTGGAGAAACCTCCGCTACAACAAATGTAATCAGCAGGGGTATCTGTGGCAGCCTGGAGTGCACCC